CACACACACATATATATATATATATATATATATATATATATATATATATATATATATATAAAACCCATTAACCCACGTTCACACTCACATGCACACACACACTCACACACACATACACACACAAACACACACACACGCACCCCACACACATAGACACACTCACACACACTGGCACTCGTAGCTATTTTTGTTAAATTAATTTTCTTTGGAGTTTCCATGACAAATTCAGCAAGTTCCAACAACAACCCCCCCCCCCCCCCCCCCTTTCTCCAAAAAACAAAATGAGAAACAAAAAACTCGATTCGCTTTAAGCGGAAGACCTACCTTTGTTTTTGAAAGCCAAGTAGCCTGCTGCCATAGCTGCTGCAGTTTCCATAGCAACGTCACTGCCTGGGTTGGATGCTGTGATCTTGTAAGACGGTCTGGACATGGTCATCGCTTCCGGTGAGCCCCAGTAGCCGTGGTCGATGCCTCCGTTGCCGACCTGTGTGGGACAAAATTCAAGACGATATCAAGTTGAGTTCATGGTCAAACGTGCTTTTGTTTCACTCGCTGCTCTGAGAAACATCAGAGGTAAAGGTCTATCTGAACCCTCTGTTCTAAAAATAAGTTAAAAGTATCTTCCAGACATGTCACGACTACCCAAATGTGGCCCACGGAGATTGGAGGACACCTGACGTACATCGTGGATAAAGTGAGTTGGGGGGGGGGGGCTGGGCTCTTAGGTAGACTACACCGTATTATGTTAATTGAGACTCCTGCGTAAGACAGCGAAGAAGTGCCTAACCCCAGGGCCGTCGAGAGCCTGGTCGGGCCCTGGGGCAGCAATCACCTTCGGGCCCCTCCCCCCCCCCCCCCTCACCCAACCGGCCCCACCCACCCTCACCTGCAATTTAATAAATACAATGTACATAGGCATATATAATCACTTTACTATAGCATATCTATTACATACCAGCATACGCTCTCTCTCTCTCTCTCTCTCTCTCTCTCTCTCTCTCTCTCTCTCTCTCTCTCTCTCTCTTTCTCTCTCTCTCTCTCTCTCTCTCTCTCTCTCTCTCTTTTTCTTTTCTCTTTCTTTTCCCCTTGCTTGCGGGCCCCCCAAACCCCCGGGCCCCGGGGCATTGCCCCCCCCCCTGAGCCCCCCCCCTCTCGACAGGCCTGCCTAACCCTATACGTTCTTACTCTGAGCGTCTAGGCCTAACCACTACAGCACAGACGGATGTTTGGGTTAAAGTTTATAGCTTCAGAAGAAAAAAAAAAGAAAGATAGCACAAAGGCCAAAGACTCCCACTATTTCTCATTCTGCCACTACTGACCTGAACATAGAGTTCTTCAGGCGCCGTGTGACACTTGAGCAGATATTCCAACGGCCATCTCACACAGTCCAGGATTTTGCTCTCCTGACCAGCTGCCCTGTAGGCGTCCGGGTAGAGGAGATAACCCCAGGTGAGTATGGTGGTGCTGTAGGACATGGGGAAGTTGAACTTGACGTGGTCACCGGCTGAAAGGGAAAGTTGTGGAGGTGAGGGTTGGAAGGGGAAGGTTGGGGGGAAAGAAAATGATTTTGAGTCATAAACTAAAACTTGCATGGAAACGCATTGAAAACAGCAATCGCGGAAAACAGAGAAAACTGGAAACACTGGATACTCTGTGTCGCATATGTAGTGGCGTCCAAAATGGTGTAAAAGAATTGTTGACACCGGCCAGTCTATAGTGGCAAAAATCTGACCCCCCGCACCGACCAGTGGCGGTGGGTGGACCAAAATTTGGGTGGGGCTTGGATTGCTTTCACTTTTTTACCTCTAAAAAGCAAGCAATAAGTACAAAACAATGGTGATTTTTCCATACTCACGGCGAGCCACGGCATTTTGAGAACAATTCAAACGAGAAGAGTCACCTTTGCCTTCCTTGTCTTTGTTCTACGTTAAATTCTTCTGGATGCTGGGGACGAAACCCCCAAACGTCTTTAATTAATTTTCATCTGATGAAAAAGTTGCCTCAAAAGGGGTTTGATGTATTTAATAACTGTTAAATCTCAGCGGCACACACACAAACATTTATACACAGCACTCCACGAGCTGGATTAGGCCGTGTAGTCGAGGAAAGTAGACAGCACCTAACAAAGGTCCAATGGGAGCGTAGGTAACTGTGTCACTGGGGGAAAGTATATCGTAAACTTTCACCCCATTGTCAGGGCTAGGACAGGGTGAGCCCTCGGTGCAGTGTTATTTTTTTCAAGTCGTCTACCTTTTTACAAGAAGAGTTTCATTAACGAGGCCCGTGGGAACCGGCTCATCTTTGCTGAGCCCTAAAGACATTTGATTGGCTGTTAGGTTACTATAGTTGTAAGCGGGGACAACAGTGATTGGATACACGAGCAAGCTGGCAAGTTGATTACTCTGTGTTTATTCCGTACGATCATAACGGTTTCAACTGCTTATTTCGTTATTTTCATTTGCTTTGGAATAGAGTTGGGGGGTGGGGAGGGGGTGGGGGCTCAAGCCCGTGAGCCCTTCACTACCCACCGCCACTGGCACCGACCAGGAGAGATTCACGGGACTGGATAGACCCGTGCACTCACGAGTGAGTGAAAGAGGGACCGAGTCGATTGGGCAGCAGAGAAGTGGCCATTGAGGCATAAGATCGCAGAAGAACAGAAATAACATCCATCCAGAAGGGGGCCCCTATCTTTATTATCAAGAAACATTGAAAGAACCTGAGTCCAGAAGGTGAGCAATTATTCTACACAAAAGAAACTTGAAAATGTAATATCTCAATCAGTGCGTTATAGTCTTACACTACCCGCTCATGTAGCATACCAATCTAAAACGAAATAAATTCTGCCTATGTTATGAGAATCCGAGATATGGTCACTCAAAATTGCCCCCAACCCCCCCCCAGGCTTGTTACTCTTTGTTACTCACCATCATACCAGCCTCCGGTCAGATCCTCGCCCTTTGCCCCCTTGTCACCGAGCGCCGAGTCTCCTCTCCAGGGAATGTGGTTGTTGTTAGGGAGTTTTCCGGAGCGTTGAGCCTCGTAGAACAAAATGGACTTGTACAGAAGGTCGTTGTAGTTGTATTTTGAATGATCGCCTGTTCACGAGGAGAGCAAAACGAGAGTAGAATGATGGGATGAATGGCTCAGCTCTTGATAATTTGACATACAAGCGAACCTATTCTAAAGGCCACCTGTCCAAGACAATTACCTGTATAAAAACCGCTTCCCACTTTTTCTTCTTTTTAAAAAAAATATTAAAATGATTATGCCAAAGACGTCTACTTACATAAGACAACCACTTTTTACCGTGACAACAGATCAACGTCTTGAATAGTCTCGATTGGATCTGTAATTTTAGGCAGGTCATAAACAACAACTGCGACTTCTAACTGATTTTTAAGTCATTATTACAAATCAGGTTGGCAAGTAAAGCTTTTTTCCGTACAGGTTTATTTCTTAAAATAAAGCAGGTATTACATTTTGTAGCAACCTATTTTCAAGTAAAGAAATGTAAAGGGTAATGTTTTGTCAAGGAAGAGTACCAATACAGTTACAGCTTACGAAATAACTGATTGCGACGAAAATCAACATGGCGTTCTGATCTTTTTCAATATTTGGGTAAGATATTTCGTATTAAAGGAAGAAAAAGACCCTTCAGGACTATTTTGTTTTAAACCAAATGTTCATAAAGTATGTAGCCTACTACACAAGCGTATCAGTGGATACAGAACAGGAAAATACGTAAAAATACCACATTCCTGTCTCATCATTTAGAATTTAGATGAATGCATTAAAAAATACATTTCAATGTCGGCACCAAAATCAGTACACAGGACAAAACTACATTTCAAGTATCAGTTCATCTGTTTTACTGCTGTTATAAGAAATATTCATTCTATAGGTAATCGTTTTCTTCTGCTTACCATCATGTGCTGGCTGTACGGACCAAGGATCGATACCCAGATTCTGGAGGACAGCGTGACCAGTCGGTTTGTTCGGGGCGCCTTGGATTTCTGCTCTAAACCTGTGGGCAGTCGGACAAAAAAACCCAGGGATGAAGGGACACATTCTTACATACGAGCTGTGAAAGTTACTTTAATTTACTCTCTCCCCACTTCTCTTTCCTCCTCCTCCCCTCTCACTCTCTTTCTATCTTTCTCTCTCTCTTTCTTTCTCCACACACACACACACACACACACA